GCCTTTAATACAGTTCTTGATGCTGTGGTGACCCCAACCATAAAATTATTTTCATCGCTAATTCATAACTGCAATTTTGTTACTGTGACGCATCACAATGTAAATATCTGATATGCAGGGTATCTGCTATGCGATCCCTGTGAATGGGTCCTTCCACTCACAAAGGGGTCGCAACCCACAGGTTGAGAACCACTGCTCTAGTGCCTCCTTGTCCCCCCCCCAACACACACACACAATTCTGTTACAGGTGAAAGCTGGCGTTAGGCACCAAACAGAGTATAATGGAGAATGATGCAAATTTTGGCCTAACAATTTTGTTTCTGCTTCTCTCATGTATTATCAAAGAACACATGGATCTTGAGGGCCAAGGTCCAGGAATTCAAAGCAAAAGCAGCACTAGAAAGAAATATTGAATGTGAAAAATAGCTTTTTCATGTAGTTAAGGGTAAGCATTTTTCCAGCTATTCTCAACACTCATATTGAATCCTAAAAATGGCTTTTCTCTTGTAGTTAAGAGTAAGCATTTTTTTTCTAGCTATTCACTTCAAAATCACTTTAATAAGCCAAAGCTGTATAGGCTGGTACTGCTGCATCTCAAAAATATATCTGGAATGTTTTCCAGAATTATAAAATTTTTAAGATACACTGCAATAAAAGCCTGGGTAAAACATTCACATTATTTTTATATGCATTGCATCATATTTTACATGCATTATTTTAATGGAAGATGAGAACTTATTTTATAAATTCCATCATAAAATATTTCATTTACAGATATACCATATCTAATTTCATCTTCTAAAATGTTTGTTTTCTATCTCCTCATGATAAAAAATAAAATTACCTACAATTGATTTTTAGTAATATGCCTCTTTCTCTCTTTAAATACATGGGAAACTTTTAATCATGGTACTATGAAAGATAATTGAGTTATTTATGATTTTTATATTTGATTTTCTGCAATTATTCCTGAAAGCCATACATTACAATCACACACACATATATACACACACGCACACTATTTAAAGAATGAATAGCATGCCTTTTATTTTATTTTGATTTATTTATTTATTTTGAGATAGGGTTTCTCTGTGCAACAAGCTCTGGCAGTCCTAAAACTCATTCTGTAGACCAGACTGGCCTCGAAATCAGAGACTCACCTGCCTACCAAGTGCTGGGATTGAAGGTATGTGCCATCATGCCTAGCTCAGAATAATATGCCTTTAAAACAACATATTTCTCACTGGGCGATGGTGGCACATGCCTTTAATTCCAGCACTTGGAAGGCAGAGGCAGGTGGATCGCTGAGGCTTGCCTGGTGTACAGAGTGAGTACCAGGATAGCTAGGACTATACACAGAGAAACTCTGCCTCCAAAAGTCAAAACCAAAACCAATTTTTTTCTCTTGTGAGATTGTCTCAAGTTGGGGTGGGGGGCAGGATGGCGAGATGGCTTAGCAGTTAAGATCAAGTACTGCTCTTGTAGAGGACCTGAGTTTGGTTCCCAACACCCTCATCAGGTGGCTTACATCCTGGTTCACAAATACATGTGATATCAGCTCTAGCGATACACATTACCTTTGGCTTCCACAGGTGCCTGCACTCACATGCACAGACCTCCCCTCCACACACGCGGACACATTATTAAAAATAGGAAACTATTTCTTAAAAAAGAAAATCTATATTTCTCTTCTTATAAATGCCTTATAATCTTATCTGTGAATTGTACCACATTGCAACCAATTTAGGATACTGGCTCATTGTCTTGCTTTTAACATTTGTTGCATTTTATTATTTTAATCTTGGATGATTCTATTTTATATAACATGTTTTATAATCATTTCTTAGTATTTTTCATAAAGCTTCCTGGAATTGTATTAACATAGTTGCATTAAAAGCCTTTTTTTTGTTGTTTCCAGGTATTAGTAAATCTGACAATAGGTATTCGGTTGTGGGGTATTTGTACACTTTGTGAAGATATATTGTTGTGATTGGCTTAATAAAGAGATGAATGACCAATAGGTAGGCAGGAAGAGGTTAGGCAGGATTTCCTGGGACAGAGAGCACTCTGGGAAGAAGAGAGGCAGAAAAATGCCAATGAGACTCTAAGGAATTCAGATGGTGCAGATCAGAGGTAACCAAAACATGAGGCAAAATGTAGATTAATAAATATGTGTTAATTAAATTATAAGAGCTAGTTGGGGGAAAGCCTATGCTAAGGCCAAGCTTTCATAATTAATAGTAAGTCTCCACATCATTATTTGTGATCTGGCAGCACAAAGAAAAATCCATCTGCAGGACTCATTTTGCTAATTAAATTAGAAGGCATGTTCTGCAAATCCAGTAGGATAAAATTCCAGCCCCAACACTTTGTTTAAAAAAATGTTTTAAAAGTAAATGCCAAAAACATTTTTTTCAGAAATCGTTGGATTGGCAATGGTGTAATGCAATTACCAATACTTCCATTTCTTTTCTCATTTTGCATGTATCTGCTTGAATAAGTTGCTTTCAAGTAAAGAAGCAAGGGTGATAATTAAGACCCATTTGATAACTCTTGATAAAACCTTTTGTTATAATTTCCCAGAAAGGGAAAGAACAAATGATTCTAAAAAGCTTATAATAAATCTCTTTGCAGGTCAGACCATTTTTAATCCATTCTGTGTGAAAGATCTTATCAAAGTGCCACCTGACAAACAAATAAGAGTGCTTTAGTGGCAATGATAAATTGGTTTTGTGAGTTAGGGCAAATAATTCAGAAAGAACTCAAGGAATTGAGTGGTATCACTTTAACTAACTTCTTCTCTTCCCACCTGTACATTTGTGTGAACAAATATTTTAGTTACTCACTATAACAATGGAAACATAAACAAAATTATTGTCATACCTTGCTTTAATCTGGCAATATGTTATATTCACCCACAGGCACACCCATAAATAGGAACATCCTTGTCATTTTATTAAGAGAACTTGCTGATCACATTTATCTTTATGTTTAACAATCACTTATCAAAATGCATAATGTGGTACTTGGTTGTGTTCTGATTTACAGATGTATTTCTCTTTTAGAGACTATGATAGAAGCAACTAAAAGATTTACAAGTCCTGAAGTATCACACTAGGAAAATTATAGGCAAGAACAAATTTGAAGAGAAAAGGGGAAATGTATAAAGTATTCAAAAATTAAAAGGTTTTTTTGTATTCTGTAAATGTATAATGGCACATTTCAAAGTTTTTAGATGCCACTGGAGGCATTTAAGTGATTGAGAAACAATTTTATTTAACTGAGTTAACTAATTTAATTGGTTTTGGATATGCAAGGTTTATTGTGTAGTTCAAACTGGTCTGGAACTTGCTACATAGCCCAGGATAGACTGAAACTCATGATTCTCCTAACTTAACCTCCCCAGTTCTGGTATTACAGTTATGTGCCAGCATATCTGGGTATAATTTTGTTTTAAAATTTCAGTGTTATACTTCTGGCTTCTGGTGTGGCATGTTAAAGAGCTTAAATGTCCCTATACCATTGTAAAAAGTAAAAAGTAAGAAACAACTGAAAACCCAGCATGCTTTCATAGATTTATCGGAAAAATGAAGACAGAGGGCAAACTGCTACTTAAAGGGAGGAAGAGAAAGGAAGGTGGGGAGAGACAGAAAGAGAAGAGAGGGAAAGGAAGAGGGAAGGAGAGAGGAATGGAGGAAGGGAACCAGAAATCCACAGGGAGAACCCTGAAGGCACCAGTGGCAGCAAAATGTAAAGTGACAACTTGCCCAGGCTCATGTGGGCTCATGTGAGAGTTTAAAATTCTGGCTCACATAGTTAATTGTGACCCGCCCATACCAAACCACCTCTGAGCTCAGATCACCTAACTGACTTAAGCCCACATGCTGCAGAGGTCTTCCCAGGTCTCCAGTAGCCCAGAAGACTCCAGGTGGCTGTACTCACTCTGGAGACAGGATAAAAGGAAGTGAGCACGAAATAGTTTCTCCTTTGGGTCCCTTCATATAACTTGCCTAATAGCCATTGCTTTTATCATCTTGTCATTCTCAAAGAACTCTATTCAGTAGTCACATGGTTAGTACCCTTAGCAAAATCTGCAAGTTTTCCCTCTGAAATTTCCAGAAAGGGCTTTTAAAAAAATACTTGCATAATATAACATGATATTAGATACTGGAATGTCCTGGCTGTGCATTTTTCCCTCTTAGAGATCTCAAGATTTATAGTGCCTAGTTCAATGTAGCACGCACGGATGGCAGTGGATAGATATGAAACTAATCACAATGAATGGATATACTGCTTCCAGTGCTACAGAAGTGACATGCACGTCTCCACAGTCAAGTACTACACTCTCGCCAAAATTGGAATAGGTGAGCCTTGTGGAGGATGAAACATCAGTCTACACCAAACCATGTGTCTCTTTCTATACTCTTAGGAAATAAGTCAGTTCCTTCATTATGAACCAAGAGGGCCTAGATTATAATTCTCTGTTTCTTTATCACACAGTACTTGGTTATATAAATGATTAGGCCTATCTTATTAGCATAACACCATCCTAAGTGCTACAGGTCACACACAAATAAAATAGATAACGACCTGGTGCACCACCAATCCTCCTAAACCCCTTTAGTTCTCCAAGATTTGAAATCAGAGTAATATTGCATTTTCCTTGATCCTCTAGAAAATTTTAGGAACATAAATTAGATCATGTCACAAATACCAGGAGAAAAGCATTAATGGAAAATATGAGGTGGCTACCCTTGGTGGTATCATTAATCTGTCTCTCTCCCCACCCCCCATCTCTGGTACAATGGTACACAATCTCATAATGTAATTTCTCCTATGGTTTTAAATGTCATTTTAAATTCCAGGTAGTGAACAAGTGAGGTGGTATAGGCTGAACTGGAAACATTAACAATGTCAGATTTTATTGATAGACATCTGAAAGGAATATTTTTCAGGAGCATATTATAAGAGTTTCTGGACAAAGAAAATGCACTTCTTACCTCCTACCAACAAGTAGCTGTTGGGAAACAGTGTTTTTGCTTGCATAAGTGCCCTTGCATGACCTGAGTGGAAGAGGTCAAATATTCCATCTGCATACACTCTAACAGGCCTGTCAACTGTGGAAGAAAGAGACACAGTTAACACAACGGCAGAATAAGGAAGCACCATTACCTTCCATCATTACAGAGCCGTAAGTTTACCTACAGAAAAACAATATCCACATGTTATCAGTTTAACATTAGTGCATGAAACTGATTTTAAAAAAAAAATAGACTCGTGTAAAGGTATCAAAATACAACAACAAAAAATTTCAACTACACAACACACAGTGTTACCTAACAAGGAAGACAATATAGAGCACTGGGAGTTCTCTTCACCCCAGATAGAATCTAGATGTCTGAACCAGTAGTGTGTACCTGTTACTGGGAAAACTGAGGTTCCCTTTTAAAGCTCTTCATCTTGTTAATTAAAGATTTTAGAAATGGACTCAGAAAGATACCTGAGGACAACGTAGAGTTTAGGGGGAAATCCTGGCAACCACCAGGAAGATGGATGGAGACATAGTCATGCCTTTTAAGTGAGGCAGGAACTAGAAATAGATGATTATTAAGAGAGGAAAAATCATCCTCAAGAATGGAAGTGAGGGTCCAGGTGGTGGCGGGGTACACCTTTAATCCCAGCACTTAGGAGGCAGAGGCAGGTGGATCTCTGAGTTCGAGGCCAGCCTGGTCTACAGAGGGAGTGCCAGGACCAAAGAAAGAAAGGAAGGAAGGAAGGAAGGAAGGAAGGAAGGAAGGAAGGAAGGAAGGAAGGAAGGAAGGAAGGACCTCTGTGAGTTCAAAGCCAGCCTAGAGCAAGTTCTAGCACAGCCTCCAAATCCACAGAGAAACCCTGTCTCAAAAACAAGTGGGTGGAAAAAAGAATGGAAGTGAGCTAGTGAACGGAATAGAGACCTAAAAGCATCCAGTTATGTGGCATATGGTCTTTTTGAGGTTTTCTCCCCTCGCATTTATATCTGAGGCTTTGTTTCATTACAGGCTCTGTTCCTTAGATGATGGCAATGGCAGGTTAAGAACAGGCTTCTAATCTTCCTCTACAGACTCTCTTTTTGTGTTATTTTTTTAAGTCAGTATCTTTCTATATAGCCTTGGTTGGTTTGGAACTCACTATGTAGACCACACTGTCCTTGAACTCAAAGAAATGTGCCTGTCTTTGCCTCCCAAGTGCTGAGATAAAGGTGTGAACCACCACATACAGCCATGTTTATTTTGATACAGCTCTTAAAGTTCCTACACTTTATCACATAATTGGTGGGAACATCAAGGCCTCAGGAGTGGAAGAGCTTGAAGAAAGCCTTGAGTCCTGTTCTCAAAGACAGTGCGGCTTTGGTGTCTACTTGGTGCTCAGATTGCTGCTCATTTTTCTTCCTAATTCCGAAGTTCATTGGTGGTCAAAGTGAACTGTGATGAGGATGTTTTCACCCCAGACATGTGCAAATGTTACAAAGCAAGGCTTATTTCATCTTGGAAGGCAACATGTTTCCCAGCATAGCATTGTACATGGTATAAGAGAGAGTCGACATGGGGCCTACAAGAGAAGGCAGTCAATGAATCAATTTTGTATATAATGTTGGTGCTCTGGGTTAGAAACATCCAATCAGTACACTTGTCCTTTCTAGTCCCGCAGGATGCTATTGCTGAGCCAGGTCAGAAATCCATTTCCTTCTAATCAGAAGGGAATGCTGAGTGGTTGGATTTTACCAATGTAGTGTATAAAGTGGGCACAAATGGAGGAAGAGGGTTGTTGTTCTTTGGTATCTCCATTCTGAAAGCCAAGGAGGAGGAGAAGAGAGACAGAGACAGAGACAGAGAGACAGAGACAGAGAGACAGAGAGAGAACATGTATGCATGCAGAGTATGCATATGGAAGTCAGAGCATAACTTCAGAGCTGTTCACTCCTATTGGGTTTTACAGATCAAAGTAGGTCATCATGATAGTGCAGCAAATATTTTCATCTACTGAATCATCTCACCAGCATGCTGATTTTCTGTATAAACCTAAGAATCCTGCTGACTCTTAAAAATAGATGCATGTATTATATTAATGCTATAAAATGAAATATTTAGGGGTGGGTTATGGCCTCATGGTAGAGTGCCTTCTCAGCATGCACAAGGGCCAGAGTTCCAAAGTCAGCATCAAACCAAAAAAATTGTGAATTGAAAACTTCTATTAAATGATTTAGGATTTATATTTAAAATTGTGATTATTTAATGATGTAAGCCAACCTCATTAATTTAGAACATAAAGAAATATTACATTAATAGATTCAGATGGAACAATGTTGCTAATAAATTAAATTTCTCCAATAAAAAATATGAAGATTTTTATGTCAGATTGAGAACTTCAACTGTATTCAATTATATACTATTTTGAACAAACAGAATTGCTTTCACAGGATTATACTGTATTCTAAATAAGTCGCAGTAAACAGAAAATGCTCTGAAATAACAAACTCTCTAATGAGGGATCTTGGATTTCAATGCTCTTATTCAATTGCAATTCAATTGAGGAAAATTTGTTTTAAGATATAAATCCCACAAGAAAGCAGATGGTAGTTCTGTGAAAGTTTTTGTTAATGATTCAGAGGTGATCAGTATAAATGAATTCAGGAAGCAGAGAGGAAGAAAAGTAAAGAAAGATGGCATAATTACTGGGGAAAGGGCCATTTAGTAAATTTAAAGACTATCTGCATAGTTGATTTAGCAGTCAGATCACGTTTTAAAATTGTAATGTGTCAGCAATTTCCAGACTTGGAAACTCCTACCGGGCCTAAAGCAAAGAGAGGAACCTGGTTTCCTGGTCTCTTCAATGGGGGGAGAAGGAGAAAGAAAGGAGGGGGCAGAGGCGGAAGGAAGGAGTGTGGAAGGGAAGAGAGAGAGGGAGAGAGACTGTGCGGATTGACAGAAGTTGCAAACACAGAGCAAATTGCTACAATGAAATATTATTTCTCTGCTGTATTCACACACCTTCCACCCTCCAGTTCAGGGCCTGAGCATGTCTTCACTTAGCCCTAAGGGTAGCTGAGGACAGCTCTTCACAGGGAAGGCCCTTGTGCTGCATAAAGTAGCAGTTTGAGGTGAAAGGGATTTGAAGTCTTAGGTCTACCCAGTTATGACACCAGTTCTTTAGTCTTCAGGGATTTTTCAAAGATTAAATGAAATGGGGACAGGACAGCCTACGGAGTAGCTGCTTATTAACGTCCACAGACCTTAGGTCCTTTTCTGGTCAGATCTGAAGCTTATCCTTTAACTTCAGCTCAATTCTGTTTTCCAAATAACCACCTTGTTTTCATTTAGATATTGATCTCACCCCTGCTGCCCCCATCTGCACCCCACTGCCACATAACTCGTGTATTGAAGGTTTGGTTCCCAGGACACAGTTCTGTTGGGAGATGGTGGAAACAAGGAGGTGAGGCCTAACTAAATCTTTCCTCTTCCTAACTCCCCCTCAGGTATTTTATCAGAGTGATAGAAAGGTTACTAATAGACACCTGAATTTTCATTTAGAAAGCTCTTGACTTTATTTTTGGGCCAGTATTTCTCAGTATGTGGTCCCTAACCACCAATTTACAGATTATCCAGACCAGGTGTTGGTGGCTCACACCTTAGTCCCATCACTCAGCAGGCAGAGGCAAGTGGATCTCTGTGAGTTTGAGGCCAGCCTGGTCTACAGAGTGACTTCCAGGACAGGCTTCAAAGCAATACAGAGAAAACCCTGTTTTGAAAAAACCAAAAAAAAAAAAAATGCAGATGGCCATCCTCCATTCCTCATCTGATGGCCTGTGAATGGAGAGACTAATTTCTTTCTTTAAGGATTTTTTTTTTTTTGGTTTTTCGAGACGGGTTTTCTTTGTGTAGCTTGGGAGCCTGTCCTGGCACTCGCTCTGGAGACCAGGCTGGCCTCGAACTCACAGAGATCTACCTGCCTCTGCCTCCCAAAAGGATTTTTTTAATACTTATTTTTATTGAAGTTATATGTGTGTGTGCCTGCTTGTCTGTATGTGTACCATGTACATGCAGGTACCCATGGAGGCCAGAAGACAGCGTCAGATCCCCTGGAAGTGGAGTTACAGCCAGCTGTGAGCTGCCACGCGGGTGCTGGGAATTGCACCTGGGTCCTCTGGAAGAGTAACAGATGCTCTTAACTACTGAGCCATCTCTCCAGTCCCTCCATGTGATTCTTTACATACTTGATTCTTACACACTTAAGTATAAAAATGGATCAACGACCTCAACACTTCTGAGGGGTGTCCTTAAAGAAGAAGCTGAGTGTAGAGGTTCAGAGGCTCAAGCTCTACAGTATTTTGGAGCCAAGACCCCAGCTTTTCTGCTCAACAGGTGTTCCCAGAGCAGCAGCATTCCCTGGGAAGTTGTCAGAGTTTCAGCTTCTTGGATCCCACCCCATGTAAACAGAATTAGATACTCCAGTGGGGAGTCCGGGCCATCTGTATGTCCGCAAGTCTTCCTGGTGATGGTGATGCAGGCTCCAGTGTGAGAAGCCCTGCCACTTACCAACTGAAAGACCGTGCACAGTTTGCAAACTCTCTAAGCCTTCTTTTCCTTATGTGTGGAATCCTGAAAGTACTGACCATGTTGAGTTGTGAGAGGAAAATGGCAGGAGACACATAAAGACCAGCACCTTGTACACGTTTAATAAATGCTTACTACAGAGCTGGAGGGATGGCTCAGAGGTTAAGAGCACTGGCTGCTCTTCTAGAGGTCCTGAGTTCAATTCCCAGCAACCACATGGTGGCTCACAACCATCTGTAATAAGATCTGGTGCCCCGTTCTGGCCTGCAGGGATACATGCAGACAGAGCACTGCATATATAATAAAACTAAATAAATCTTTAATAAATAAATAAACAAATAAATGCCTATTACTATTAGGAAATAAACTGCCCCTTGCCTCACAGATTCCTTTAAGCTTGGGTTGGTTGGGTTTTGCAGTGGCAGTAGGAGATTACTCTGTTATGCCATCCTATGTCTCAAAGCTTAACCCACTCTAGTCTTATTTTGCACTCCATCCTAACCAACTGGAATGATCCACACTTCCTCTCAGACAACTCTCTATCTCTGTGCTTTCCTGCACTGCTCCTATTCTACCCTCCCAGAAGAACTTGTATGTTCTGTAGACATGGTCCAAAACATCTCCCAAAAGAAACAGCTAGTTTCTGCTCCCTCCCTGAAGTCTTGCCTGACCTCTCCAGGCCATATGAATGTGTCATTTTTTGAACTGCCACTTATCATCAGTGTTGGACATTCATACACGTGCCTGTAGCTTTTCCTTCATGTCTGTCTAGTCTCTTTGATTATTGTGAAAGCCCTTGGGAAGCAGAAATGGCACTTTATAGTTCCTTTTACATCTCTTTCCCACTGCTTTTTTTTTTTTTTTTTTTTTTTTTTTTTTTTGGGAGGGTCTCACTTTGCAACCCAGGCTGTCCTGGAATACATCCTATGTAACCCATGCTGGCCTCAAATTCATAGTAGTTCTCCTGCTTCAGCCTCCTCAGTGCTGAGACTACAGTTGCAAGCTACCATACCCAACTAGTTCTCAACATTAATGTTCACCCTTCTTGCACTATGCTACAATCACAAAATTCTGCTGTGGAAGTGAGCATTGCTCACATAATGCTTTGTGATCCTGCAAGTGGCAAGACAAAGTCCATTTGAGAAACGAGAACAACAGCCTTACCTGGTGTTCCTAAGCGGGCCTGGGCAATGGTCAGTTTTTCATGAGGTGCTTGGCACTGGCAGCTGGATTCATCTGCAAATGGGGCTGGTGCAGTCAGGGTCTAGAAGGGAAAACAGAGAAGGGGAATGAATACATTCTGATCAACATTTCTTCACCATCAACCTTCCTTGAAGTTTCCTGTTTGGTAGATAGGTACTACTAAGAATAATATAGCAGGCCTTGATGGTTCATACCTGTAGTCCCAGTGTTCAACTCAACAAGCCAAGGCAGGGAGATCACAATGAGTTCCAGGGCCAGCCTGAGCTATGGAGGAGTTCCTCAATGTTCCACAACGGTTTGGGCTTCAAAGAGTGAGACCCAAGGGGATGGGGATGAAATAGAATATATGTGATGGGCCTGCCAGAGCGACAGTATACTTCTGGAAATAAAGCGTTGTCACCATCCCTTCCCCCTCCTCTTTAACTGATGCATCAGGAAAATTAAGAGCACGTCAGGCATGGTGGCTCACAGACACAATCTCAACCCTCAGGCTGAGGCAGGATGATGGAAAGTTCAAGGCCATGTCTTAACACAGAAGAACAAATAACATTCAAAAGAAGAAATAACAGAGCTGCACAGTGCCTACCATATGCCGGGTGCTACATGAAATGTTCTGGAGCTGTCACCTCTTTCTGGCTTCCCAGCACACTATGCTGCATACATATTCCTATCTTTCCATAGGATGCAGTCATCCTATGCCTATTTCACAGAAAAGGCAACCGAGGCTCAGTAGGATTAAGAAATATGCTAAGTCATGCCCTTGGAAAATCATTAATGCCCAGCTTTGAGCATTTCCCAACCAACAAGGGCAGTCTTCAGATATTTAGACTCACCCACACTCGGGACACTCGGCTGAAAGGACCCTCATATTCGGAAGCGTGGCACGACATCTCCTGTAATACACACACACACACACACACACACACACACACACACACACTCCCCAGCCTGTCTAATCACAAATGCTGATGTCTCTTCAGTGCAAAGGCCAAGGCTGATATCTGCACCCGGAGAGCCTAAAAGCACAGTAATTCTGGCGGGCTGCAGATAACTGCTCCTGTGGTAGCTTCCCCAGCTACCAATGGCTAGAGGCCCCGCCCCAGGCAGCTTGGGCTGCCGCTCTGGGGAACGCTGTGAGAAAGATGTAGTCACTTGGAAGCCTGCCCAGGAAGTGGCCCTGCATTTTTTAGTCAGCCTCTTAAAATGAAAACCTCACTCTCTCCAGACAGAGGAAGACAAAGCGGGTGGTGTTTTTGTAAACAGGGCAATCCAGGGTTGTCCATTTGCAGTCTTCGAGCTATGTCATTACCACAGCCACCACTACATCATCCTCCGTTGTTGTTGTTTTTTTAAAGCTAAGGTTCACTAGTCACTGTAAACATTACTCACAGTGCTGCATGAATTGCTTATTAGAGATGGAGACAGGTGCTATTCCTTAACTTGGGAAGATTTAACCGAGGAAGTATCTACACATTTGAACAGGGGATGTGATTTACTTCTGCCATTCATTTATTCATATCTCTTCAATCACTCATTCATCCATCAAATATGTAAAGTGCCATCATACTAAAATCTGAGGCTAGATGTAGAGATAAGACTAGCCCAGTCCTTGGCTTTTTAAATGTTTCTTTTTAAAGATGGGGGCTTGTTGTATAACCCAAGCCAAGTTGAATAACCCAGAATCCTCGTGCCTCATCTTCCCAAGTGCAGGGCTAGCAGGCATGTACCATCATGTCTGGAAGTTAGTCCCTGCTCTTGATGAGACCATGTTCTCCAAGACACCATGTTCTCTACACTGACAAAAAACGGAACCCTGTCCTGGCGCTATCCTGTAACCCCATTCAACACCTTCCACTCTGAAGCAGGAATCCTGCTGTCATTTTGTTGGGAGACCTCCTAGTTAGCTGCCTGAGACTTTTGTAACTCCCACCCTTCCCTCAGGACTCAGGAAGCAAACCAAAACTTGGGAAAAAGAATTGGGAAATGTGACTCCATCTTTTGTTTTGTTTTTTCCCCCCCAGATACATTGAGGTGACTTTGTGGGCTCTAAAGCACCAGAGAAACACGTATAATGTGGCAAAGGAGTTCCATCTGTGTTTGTAAGACTAGTGTTCAAATATCCTTTGTAGCACTTACTGAGTACACACTTTAATTAGGCTCTTCTGGTTAAAAACACTAAAGTTAGCTCAAGGGATGGGAGATCTATTTTAAGGCACAGAAAGTGGAAAGAGGAAATGGGCAGTGTGGCCTCAGCATGCCAAGAATGCTGCACCAACCTGGCTGTTATAGCATGTGATTCCTTCTGCTCCATCCCCATGCTCCTGCATCCTTCTACCACAGTCAAGACTCTGCTTGCCTTCCATTCCCCAGAACTTCAGCTTAGAGATGGCTTTCTCAGTCTCCCTTCACAAGCTTCCCCTATAGCAGTTTTGTTTATTTGCTTGTTTGTTTGTACTGAGACAAGGTCTTGCCACAGAGGCACAGTAGTAGATGGCCTAATACACAAATGGCCCTGGATACTATCCCCAGTAGCATTGAAAAATGTCATGAAGCAGAATCTGTCTGGCTAAGCTCATATTTTCAAATCAGGACACAACCAGAATTGCCTGGAGTTGTGACAGGTGTATTCTTGAGTCCAACAGTTGTGGCAGGGAAAGTCATGGGTGGCCCAATGTTACCTCTTTGGTAGGAACTACCTATACATATGGCGAGAAAGTTATTTGACTTTGTGTATTCCTAAAAGCAAGTTATTTAACTTATCTAATTCAGCCTCATATGTGAAAGGGGTAGCTATCTTGCATGACTGTTGTGAGAAGCAGAGGTCATATGTACACTCTACCTGGTACCCAATCAACTGCACCTACAATTACTCTCCTTACTCATTGTATGACACCTAACACTACAGCTTTGTATCCAATGATAGATAATGTTGTTGTCTGTACAAATAAGAGGACTTATAAGTGCATTTTGACAACACAATCCAAATTAGTCAAGTGGTTACAAATGAGAGTGTCTTTACGTGCGTGTGCATGTGCTCACACACATATCTGTGTGTGAATAAGCCACATGCATGTGGGTACCCAAAGAAGCCAGAAGAGGGCAGCCAATCCCCCAACTGGAATTAACAGGCAGTTGTGAGCCATCTGACAAGGGTACTGCAAACCAAACCTAGGTCTCCTGGGAGAGCAGCAAGTGCTCTTAACTGCCGGGCCATCTCTCCAGACCCACCTGGAAATATCTTCTATTAAGGATCACTACCTATTTCTGTTTTGTTGTTGTTGTTGTGGGGATTTTTAAAGATAGAGTCTTACTATCATGCCAGCCTATGTTAGCTCTAAGTTGCTATATAGCCCAGGCTACCCTGGAACTCTTAAACCTCTTTAAATGTGTGGATTAGATATGTGTGCCACCACACAGAGCCATTTCATTTATGTGTGTATACGAACAGTGACTCTTTAGCAAATGATCTAAAATAAATAACTTTAGAAGTATTTTATGTACTAGTCACAAAACTTACCAGACAAACTGTTGTCATTTCATAAGGAAGGTGCATTAAGTGGGTGTGGCATTTAAAACAGAGAGAAAATTTTTAAATAGCAATATTTACTGAAAGCTGAAGACAGAGTTTATGTGTACTGTGCATTTTGCTGTTAATTCTCATGACCCGGAAGTAGAGAAATGAGAAAACTGAAGAGACGGAAGACAGACAGAATCCCAAAGTATGCAGCATGCACACAGGTGATCTAATAGCAGTTGTCATGGAAAGGGTTATTTTCTGTAATATACAAGACAACTATGCTTGGAACAGGGACAATGTAAAAATAAACAAGTGACAGCCCTGCCTTCCAGCAAATTTCCTTTCAGAGTGACACAGTATAGCTTTTGTCCAACCCCACCCCCGAACTAGTTCTTGTAGACCAGGCTGGTCTCGAACTCACAGAGATCTGCCTGCCTCTGCCTCCCGAATGCTGGTATTAAAGGAGTGTGCCACCACTGCCCTGCCAGAATAGCTTTTGAGTTGAGAATTAAATACTATATTGGAGCAATGAGATGGCTCACTGGGTAAAGGTGCTTTCCATGCAAGCCTGGAAACCTGCGTTCAGTTCCCAGGTAGACAGAAAGAACTGACTCCACAGAGTTGTCCTCCGACCTCTACAAGTATGACCTCTATACCCACAAATTACTACTACTAATAATGATAAATTTTAGATTAAAAGTAATTAAATTCTATATTCACCAAGTCTTAGTGAGAACCTGGCAAATACCAACTACCTCCTGTGACTTGAAGTAATATTTTTTTCAGTGTGAACACTTTATACTACAATTAAAAAGAAATCCCTTTTCAAGAGCAGAACAAATCACTTGACTACTAAGGAATCTATGCTCATTGGGTTCTGTTTTCTCCACATATAAACAATGGACCAACCTCAGAACGATAGGAAATGAGACACCTGGAGTCTTCTAGGAGAGAGGATGGGGCCAACCTGGCCTTTGAACTATCTAGATATCTATAAGGAATCAAAGTCCCTACCTATTCCTCGCTATTTACCAAAGCCCAAATGTTTACTACAATACTCTGATGTATTCTGGACATAGGCTTTTTGTAAGACACAAAAATGGGGCCCAATAACATAGCAAAACAACTAATTCTTTGATTATACACATAGTGATATATATAAAATGTCAAATATATTTGCTCATTTAGTTTGTGCAACAACTCTATACAGGACCTGTCTTCAATACTGATATCAATTGATAAGAAGAAGCAAAGCAGTGGTAAATCTTTTAGACTCAGTTGCCTTTTAGGCTCCCTCTGAACTAAGGAAATGCTCAAGATTCTTGCAAGACGAGGAGACCTCAGAAAGAAAATACTGAAACTCCTGATAACCAGGAAGGGCAAACCCCAACAATTAACTGAAGAAGTAAAAGCATGTGGCCAATATTTTTACCCCAACTTAGAGAAGCATGTCAGATGTCTCACATGTAGTCACTGCAAGCCTCGGCTTGGACTGACTCAAAGACACCCAGATCACAGTTTTCTAATGTTTATTGACACAAGCTACACAGTTAAGTGATGTTAGATTCTGGAAGGTAGGCAAATAAAGGAACAAATAAGAAAGGCAGGAAAGAAAAGTGACTCTGGCACAGCAATGTACCAAAGTGAAGAGTGGCCCTTTTAGAACAATAGAAGTTAGTAGTTCAAAAGGCATGCACAATTTCCAGTCATTTCATATTTGTAACCAAAGTCCCTTTCTTTTCAACACACAAATCATAGAAATTAAGTGACTAGAATAGTGGGGGTCATCAGAACCATAGAGCACACCTCTCTGGAGAACCATAGGCCAAATTAAAATTTGGAGAAGCACAGGAGATTGTTGTTCAGCATTGAGTGAGGACTTTCAAGGGATAAGAAGCTCTGGCCCAGTGCCCTGAACCTCACATGTACAAGAACCTTGCAAAACCATAGAGTTGGTGCTAGGCCACAGTAAAAGTTCTTCCTGCTCAATGTAAGATCTCAGAACATCTAAACATTGCTTGGAAAACGCTTCCCATTTGTCACATGTGCTCCAGTTATGGAAACTGTGCCACAGTGCCATAAGAAAGCCATACTCCCAAAAGCCTCTGTAAAGGGAAGGGCATTGTTTATTGGACATTGCTTTTGTAGAATCTCTTTGACTGAGGCTTGTCAAGTATTTACCTGAAATAAAAGCGGTTAGATAGACTGGTAAGGAAGAGAGTACTCAAGAGACTGAGGCAGGAGGCTCATGAGTTCCCAGCCAGATTAGGTCAAATAGGAGTTCAAGGGCAGCTAGGGCTACAATCAAGACTTTTGCAAGTACATGTGCATGAACATGTATATGCAATTGTGTGCACAGGCACACACACATACATACACATACACACATATACACATGCATGCACAGGCATACAGACAGAGCTATTATGTATATAAAGTATATGATACAATTATTACTCAAGTGCAAAAAATGACACATAGCACCTGTACTTATGCACTGTGCGTCACCAACTGACAACAACTGGACCGATCAGATTGAGAACCACAAAATGAGAATTAAAAAAAAAAG